GCTGTATTTGCAGTTGAAGGGGCCAGTGGGCAAAGGAAAGGGCCTGCAGAGAGAATTCAGAGTTAAGACTGAAACCTAAGGTTCAGTTCTCAAGCCTCCCTCCCTTTGGTGAACAAGCAAGACAGTTAAGAACACAGACTCAGAATCAGACAGACAGGGCTCGTGTCCTGACTTCGCTGCAAGTTAGTTTCTCTGCCTTTAAAATGACAATTGTACGAGGGACTGCATACAGGGCTCTGGTGTGAAGGGACCACAAGGAATAGCACCATGACCTTGAGACTGACGGCAGCTGAGCCATAATTGCCCTCAGACCCTCAGTGATCAGGGTGGGAGGAAGCTGTTACCCTGCCCAAGGGAGAGTCTGGTAGAGCCGCCTCCCTGGGAGCAGCACTGCCCTGGGCTCAGCCGTGTAACCAGCCTGAGTCTCAGAGGGAAGGGGCCAGGGCACCTCCCTGCCCTGCCCTCCTCCTCTGTCCCTCATCTCCCCCGGGGTCCCCGCTGGCTGACCCCCCAGCAGATGTCAGAGAATTCAGCCCTCAGCAACCCTCCATACAGGCCAGCCTCCCGGGGGATGGGGTGGAGGGGAGGGTGGCTCTGCAGGTCCAGGCAGGGTGTCAGAGACGCACCCCTCCTGGGGGAGTGAGGTTTAAGTGAGACAATAGAGCAACGCGCTTGGTGGGACTTTTGACCCCAAGTAAGTGTTTGGCTGAGGCTACACTAGCAGAGGGAAGACGGGAGGGGTAAGCACGCTCCCTGCATGGCCCTCCGAGGCTGGAATGGACGTGAGGGGGGAGCTGGTGGAGCCGGGCTGCTGGCATTGGGGGGACCGTCTGTCATGGGCAAGTTCAGACGTTATTCTGAGCCACGGACTTTTTGGCCTAGAACAATTGGGAATGGCTTTATCATCTTTGAGAACCTACGGTGATATCAATTTGTAGATTATTTAGCTGGTTTGATATGTAAAATGTGAACACAGAGATGAAAACGAAACCTGCAAATGGGCAGGCCCAGGACTGTGGAAGTCAGCATCCTGTTTATGGAGATGGAAACATCTCAGAGTTGTCATTTCTGCTAATTGAACCTGCCACACAAACCACTCATGAAATGGCCTCGCCTGGGAACCCTGTGAAATTTCTAGGTCTGAGGAAGATTTTACAACCTCTCCTTGCCCTTTCGTTCTGTTTCAGTCCCTGTTTTTAAACCTTCTTTCTTAATTTTAACTTAGTCCCCAAGCTCCATCCGTTTCCTTTCTTTCCATTCTCAGTGAAAGTGAAAGTCGCTCTGTTGTGTCCGACTCTTTGCAACCCCATGGGCTATTTAGTCCATGGAGTTCTCTAGGCCAGAATACTGGAGTGGGTAACCTTTCCTTCTCCAGGGAATCTTCCCAACCCAGGGACTGAACCCAGATCTCCCACAGTGCAGGCAGATTCTTTACCAGCTGAGCCATCAGTGAAGCCCAAGAATTGTGGAGTGGGTAGCCTATCCTTCTCCATCGGATCTTCCCGACCCAGGAATCAAACTGGGGTCTCCTGCATTGCAGGTGGATTCTTTACCAACTGAGCTATCAGAGAAGCCCTCCATCCTCAGTACCAAAACACAAACAGTATTCTATACCTCCTCCTCCCCAAAAAGAGCTAAAACCAGAAGAAATCGGATTACTTTAAGAAAATTGGCACATGAAGAATAAATCTTTCCTGAAATTTTCTTCAAGATTTTTTTCCCTTGAAAGCCGAACTGTAAAATAAAACACACTCTGTTGTTAACAAACAGAAACCTCACATATCTACAATATCGTTTGTTTTCCAGCACGAACTAACATTTCGCTCTGTCTGCTTTTCCTAATATGCACATTTCATTTACCCTAAAGCCTCGTTATGGGAAGCATTTCTGCGTCCGTCTCTCAGCCCCAGGCTTTCCTGGGCAGTGAAATATGGGCTTCGTGGTTTCAGAAGCACTGGCTCTCACTCATTTCGCCAAAAGCAGCAAATCTTTAAAAATGAAATTTTCCAGGCTCTCAGCCCCTAAACCAACCCTGTAGGGAGAGATGGTTTTGAGTCTTAGCGGCCCACAGAATGTCTCACAGCGTTTAAAAGTGTCGTCAGCCCTTCCCCTATACAGCAGAGGCAGCGAGCCTGTGCAGAGTGCAGGAGCGGCTGAAAAAATGTACTGAATGCTGTGCTTTGGACCTTTATTAAATTTCTTACTTGCCGACAGCCTCAATCCCTCAAAGGCCTAGAGCCTGTTGATGCCTGTTCCCTTGTTCTCATTAAACTGGTCTCTGGGCCGTAGCTGTGCTTTGAACAACACTGGGCTGCGTGGGAAGATTCCGGGCTCGTCTGGGGGCAGGACTGTCTCACGGTGGCTGCTGCAGCCTTGGGGTTGTCTCAGGCCCAGAACCAAGTTCTGTGCCATCCAGCTCTTTGCCCAGCCTTCTGGAATCCAGCCTTGCCCTCTGCTCTGTCCATCACGGTCACAGCCTAAATCTCACCCCTTTCGGATGTCCATTCCCAGCCAGGGCCTGCCCCTGTCTGCCCCGTCCCTCCTCCACCACCCCACCCCACCTCACTGCCCCAGGCCTCAAGCACGGACCAGATCTTTCCCTTGGTCTGTCAGCCAGTCAGGGGCTTCACAGGCAGCTCTAGCAGTGAAGAACCCACCTGCCAATGCAGGAGATGCTGGAGACAAGGGTTCAATCCCTGGGTCAGGAAGATGACCTGGAGGAGGCCAAGGCAACCCACTCCAGTATTCTTGCCTGGAGAATCCCCTGGACAGGGGAGCCTGACAGGCTATATTCCATGGGGTCGCAAAGAGTCTAACATGACTGCAAAAAGTCTAACGTGACTGAAGCAACTTAGAATGCACGCACGCACAGCCAGCCAAACAAATTGGGAGAAGGAGGCACAGAGCCACAGCATCTTAAAGCCAGCAAGAATGTTAGGAATTTTCCAGTCTGGCCTCTTTGTGTTTAGATGAGGACATCTTGGTCCAGAAAAATGTATCACTGGCCTATTAGTGGTGAAGGTCACATCAGAGCTGGTAGCAGACCTGGGAGGGAGAACCCACAATTTCATGGCACGAGTTACATTAGGGGTATTTAATAAAAATTTCCTATTGTAACTGTCAGTACCTCCAGAACTAGAAGTTTTCTCTGCTGGGGTCCAGCCTCAGCAGGATCCAGGGGTACCCTCAGGATGAACGGTGTCGGCGAGAAAAGGAGAGAGAGAGAGAGACCAGACTGGAGGGGTGTAGTAAAGTCTGGCAAATCTTTATTTTTTTTACCGTAGCTTTTATATTCTAAGTTAGTACATTTTTAAGGGGAAGATAGTTTAATATTACATCAGCTCATCCTTCATGAAACCAGGGTGTTTTCTGCAACTTCTTTGTGAGAGTCTTACACATTATCTTCTGGCCTTGGGGCCTATTGACATTTTGTGACCTAGGTGAAAGCAAAGCTGTTTTCCGTAATCTATTCTTTAATGAACACAAAGGTCAGTCCTTTTGCAGAAGTTATCAGTTAAATTTATCTAAAAGGTTTACCACACGGACTCTGCAGCTCCGGTGAGGCAGCCCCTGTTTAGCATTCCTGGTTAAGATGAACAATTCTAAACTTATTTTTCTAAATCTTTAACTCTAACTACTTTTAGAATAATATTTTTGTGTTCTCTAATAGGGCTTCCTCACCCCCCGAAGGGCTCTGTGCCTATTAGGGCCTTTAGTGTGATCAGGTTCTTTATGCTGTTCATGATTAAGGTGTTGTGAGCAGTCATGTACATTAATACGCATTTGCCAAGCAGGCTAGAATGCCAGCAAAGGGGTCTAAATGGAAATACTCCTTTCATCCTGGATAATCTTATAGGATACCACCGTCTGGCGGACATATTAACTAAAGTTCTAAGTTGATTCTGTTTGGAGAGAGATCTGGGAAGGCCTTCTACCCGTGTCATAGAAATTAGGGAGTGGTCTAATATAGCAAGCATCAGAAAGACAGAGATCATCTTTAAGGTGGGCGCCGGGGCAGCTTTTCGAAATCCCTGAAGTCCTGATCTGCCTTGCTTGTCAGGCCTTCTCCTCATGACCTTGTCATGGGTGGGATCTCGTGTGCTGGCTCCCAGCATTTCTCCACCAACATCCTAAATGATTTTTTTTTTTTTTTTGACTGCTTGCCCCTCACAACTTGTGGGATCTTAGTTCCCCGATCAGGAATGGAACCCAGGCCCACTGCAGTGAAAGCTCCAAGTCCTAACCACTGGACCTAGATTATCTTTGAAAATTCAATTTTAAGGGTTCATTGAGAAAAAGGTCATGGTATTATAACTTATGTCAACTTCTGCTTATTGTATGTTAATGGGAGAAACTGTAACCTTTCAGATACCCAGGTTGGGTGTGGTAGGATGAAACTGTGCTGTTTTGGGACCACATATGGCAACTTGGTTACTTGGGTTTGTAAAATTTCCCTACTTTGCTCTGATTAAATAAAGTGAACCTGGAAGGGTTCTAAAATGTATTTGTTGTCATTTTAGTCTCTAAGTCGTGTCCGACTCTTTCGCAGTCCCGTGGACCATAGCCCGCCAGGCTCTTCTGTCCATGACATTTCCAGGCAAGAATACTGGAGTGGGTTGCCATACCCTCCTCCAAGGGACATTTCCAACCCAGGGGTCGAACCTGCATCTCCTGCATTGAAGGCAGATTCTTTACTGCTGAGTCACCAGGGAAACTCTCTATAGAGTACACCAAACATACATTCTGTTTGTTTCCTTATCCTCTCTTCTACAGGGGATGATATCACGGGGAGAAAGATCAGTGACATTTAAGATGAACTCAGTGTACATGTTCAACCTCTGTCACCACCTGGGCTAACCCTTTTTGCTGCCTGTGAAATCAGTTTTACATCTGTGCCACGTGAACCCACAGAAGGTTCGGATTCTTGGCTGAGCTTGTGTCTGCAGCACACGCAGTGCAGGTTTCTGCACTCAAGCAAAAACCGCTCTTCCTCCGGGCAGCACATCGAGCCAGCACATGGTGCTCGTTCCACAGCTGACTCGGATCCGCACGCCTTCTTGTCTTCCAGGCTCTGCGGCTACCCTCCTTTCTATGATGAAAACGACTCCAAGCTCTTTGAGCAGATCCTCAAGGCAGAATATGAGTTCGACTCCCCCTATTGGGATGACATCTCCGACTCGGGTAGGTCTCATGGCTCGGGGACCCCCACACCCTGACCACCTGCATCTGCAACAGGCCCTGGGGCCTCAGAATGGTCCTGAGCTATACACGTTGAATTGACTTGTGATGCGAGGAGAGGCTTGGGCCATGTGCCCCAGCCAGGCTGGGGGCGGGGACTCACCCCTCCGCTCGGCTGTACCCTGCTCTGGGTGCTCTGGAGTCAGACAGCGTTTGTTGTTGTTTACTCGCTCAGTCGTGTCCGACTCTTTGCGATCCCATGGACCGCAGCACACCAGGCCTCCCTGTTCTGCACCACCTTCTGGAGTTTACTCAAACTCATAATCTCCAGCAGACAGTGTTAGCTCGTGCTTGTTGAGCGCTTACTGTGTGCTAAGAATCACAAGCTCCAAATGTGTGCTAGCTCACCCAGTCCTCAGGACAGGACAACCTGTCAGGTGCGGAATCCTGTTAGCCCCATTTCACAGATAAGGAAACTGAGACCCCAGAAGGTGAAATAACCTGACTGAAGCCACACAGGTAGTAAGTGACAGAGCTGGGGTTTGAACCCATGCCTTCAAGCCAGAGCCCGCATCTCAGCTACTCAGCCACAGGAAACATTCCCAGGGAAGTTCACCATGTCCCCCCCTCAGGGAGAAAAATCAAACCCAAGGCCCACAAGAGCAGATTAAATGTCTATAACCTCACCTTCCTTCCTAACAGATGAGGATGGTGACACTACTTCCCCCCACTCTGGAAGGTGGTATAAGGATCAAATGAAATAATGAACCACCTATTCAAATATCACATTTTATTATTTGCATTGTTTCCTCCTAACTGGAAATGCCCTACTTTCTTCCTCAGTCTTCTAAAACCTGGGATGGGATTGTGGTTCTCCAAGGCTCTCAGGAAAGAGCCGCCTGGGGACTGGTTTACTTCTGACCTGGGAAGGGCTCAGCTGTCCCCCAGAAGTCCAGTCCTGTGGGCAGTGAGCTGCTGGGCCCACGAGGTGACATATCCCCCTGGCACATGTCATCCCCCAGTCCTGGGACCCAGCCCCTCCCCCACCCCCACGCTCTCAGTGTCCTGCTCACACCCACTCCTGGGCCTCCAAGCAGTTCCTCCTCCCACCCAGGGCACACCTCCTGCATCATGATTTCCTGCTCGCTGTTTGTCATCATCCACGGGGGCTGCAGGGGGTGCTTCTGGTGGGCTGTGTGTCCGCAGCGCTGGCCTAAGCCCTGGGGAGCCTAGTGGGTGCTTCAGCGATTTTGTTGAATCAGTGATGTCTTAACATGGAGAAGACATCAACGAAACAGCTCCCTGAGGCAGCAGTGAGCTGAGTGAGAGGCACCTGGTGACAAGGATTGTTCGTCTTTTCCCTGGACCACAGGTGCCACTAGCTGCCTGCCAGCAGGAGGGTCTCAGAGCCAGGAAGGCAGGTCCCAGGCCAGGCTCAGCTGCCTCCTCATTCACTGTGTCACCACTCAGAACCTCAGATCTCAGCTTCTCTTTTCCCCAAATGCTGGTACCGCCTGCCTTTTGTCCCAGCTCCCTAGTGGCTGTGGAAGGCTGGTCTCATATATGTCATGGTACCCTTGATACTCCCAAAGACCCACTGGTATCTTACTGTCATTCCTCAGGCCACACACTGATTCCTCTCCTTGCGCCTTCTTTTTGAACAGCAAAAGACTTCATTCGGAACCTGATGGAGAAAGATCCGAATAAAAGATACACATGCGAGCAGGCAGCTCGGCACCCATGGTAAGAACATCAGCTCGAGGGGCCAGTCAGCTGGGTCCCCACTGTGAAAACCACGGGTGAGGCTTGGCATCCCATCTGGCCAGCCACTCTTCTTCCTTTTCCCACCCAACCTTGGAAGACATGGTCTCTGAAGACACTAATGACAGATGCACAAGAAATAGCTGTAGCTTTTTCATTTTATGTGAAATATTTCAGGCTGGTTTTTATTGAAGGTAATCCCCCAAGGAGGCTTTAAGAGTGGAGTTTTATTCCTTGAGGTTATTACTCAGCCAGTAAGTGGATATGTTCTTTTTCTTCTAAGATGCTTTTCAAGTTAGTGGTTCATCACCTCTAGCAGGATGAACTGATAGTTTACAACATCCTGGGCTGCATTTCCTGAGGTGCCCTGAAGCCACCGTGCTTCTGTGCCACTTACTAGGGTTGAACCCGGTGACTCTGGGTTTATACTTCTCTGAGCCTTAATTTTCTCATCTTTCAAGTGAGGATGATGATACCTAGTTTTTGGGGTCAGTGGAAGCAGTGTCTGAGATCACGTGCACACATAGAAGATTTAGCACATCTGGCACGTAGCAAATGTGTTATTAAACTCTTTTTATTAAAGTGTCATGAGCCTCCCTTTTCAGACAAAGACCAGGAGTAGTAAAACAGCCAGTACAATATGCAGACTGTTGATGTTGGCAGAGGGGCAAGGCAGGGCTGAGAATCAAGCAGGACTTCACAGAGATGCCCGCCTTGTGCTATGAAAAGGCTGTCATCAGGCCACCTAGGGTGGGGCAGGGATTCCAGGCTGTGTGAGCCTCCTGGGCCAGGCCTGGGGGCTTACACTGTACACCCATCCATGAAGCTGCAGCATTTGGTGAGAGTGGACAGGTGGAGAACTGAGAGATGAGACTGGAAAGGAGAGGCCCACCAGGTTTTGGCATGAGCTCCAGCTGGGCCCGGTGGACCCCAGTCCTGGACTCGGGCTGTGCTGTGTGAACCAGCTCCTTAACCTCTGGGCCTTGCCTGTGGCTCTGAGATGGGAAATAACAGTGGTATGTATCCTAGAGGGATTTTCAAGGGAGCAAATGAGATAATCCATGTGAAGAAGAGTACCTAATAATCTCCAATTTATTGAAATTCTTTTGCTTTTGGGCAAGGGGGACCCCAGACAGGTTTTAAGCTGAGTGATCAAATTTGCATTTTCAAAACCTCAGCCTGGCAGCAGGATTGGGGACTAGGCGGGGGAGGTGCCAGGAGGGGCCGAGCAGTCATGTGAAGAGGGCTGGCCCCAGGAGGGGGGAGGTGGTCTGCCCAGTGTCCCAGGAATGAAGGGAGGGGGCGGGGACAGGCCAGGGGTGGGGAAGCTATGGGTCCCGGGCTGACCTGTGGAAGTGGTGAGGTTGTTCCAGATTGTCCAGTTCAAGGGGCTGGGAGGATGCTGTGCTGGGGGAACAGGCGGGCTGAAGTGAAAGAGATCGAGGAGGGTGCTGTGTCATCTTGATGCAGATCTGTTCTGGTGGGTGCTTTGCAGAATGATTCTGGAGCTCAGGAAAGAGGTCAAGTCTAAGATGACTTCAGGGTCATCAGCCTAGGTCACACAGAGATGTATTGGCATGTGAGCTGCACAAATAAATGCCTCCTTACTTCAGAGGTGGGTTTTTTCCCCCATGTTTTATAATTCTTACTGTGCATCTCAGAATTCCTAGAAAGTCAAGTGACAGAAAATGGTAAAGATAAATGGTTTGACTCAAGCGTTCCAGAAACACCCCGCTTGCCTGCATTTACAATATACCTGTTTCTCGTATGTAAAGCTGCCCAGGCAACTTGAAAACACAGATTCAGCTGAGAGCTTGCATGATGTGAGACGTGGCTTTACCAGCATCCCCGTTCTGGAGACCGTGGTCCCAGTACATGGATGACACTTTGGAGAGCATCATCTCTCACTCACTCTGCACTTGCTCTTCCAACTGAGCCAAGGCCGGTTGGCTTGGCTAGTGCAGGGCCTCCCCTTAGCCTCAAAACAGACCCCTCCAGGCAGGGCAGGGCTCCTTTCCAAGCTGTCCTTGCAGAGGTCAGTCAGCCCATCTCAGCGTATGTTCCCCAGCCCTGCACGGGAGGCCTCGCCTTCCTCTGGGTGATGGATGGTCGGGAGCCAACCAGTTGCTGGCTGATGGCTAAAGAGCAGGCAATGGCAGGATGGGAATCCAGTCCCAGTGACAGGAAAGCACTTAACGAGGTTTGTTTACCTCATTTGGATTGTTCTGAGCCTCTGCCTCCAGTTTCAGTGATAAACAAACCACAGTGATGATCCTGGGGGTCAGCAGATGACCTCAGGTGACCCCAGGTGACACTCAGCCAGTCCCCAGGGCAACAGCAGTTTGCCCTCCTGGGGGGATGTTGTTGTGTTGGCCCAACCAGGGGGCATCTGCAGGCCTCTCCTCAGTGTTCATGGAGACCCCTCCCCTCCCCGGGGCTTCGAGCAGCTGAGCTGCAGTACCCACAGGAACTGGGGCGGATCCCAGGGGTCTGGGAGACACACTAGGCATCACCAAGCTTGTCTTGAGCAAGTGGTTAGGAAAACGCACCATCAGAGCTGTGAAGGCACTGAGAGAACAGTGTTGTTGTTACTTTTGAGTTGCTAGGTTGTGTCTGACACCTTTGCAGCTCCATGCACTGTAGCCCGCCAGGCTCCTCTGTCCATGGGATTTCTCAGGCAAGAATACTGGAGCAGGTTGCATTTCCTTCTCCAGGGGATCTTCCCAACCCAGGGATCGAACCTGTGTCTCCTGCACTGGCCAGTGGATTCTTTATCATTGAACCACCTGGGAAGCCCAGAACCTGTATACACAATATCAAAGGACCAAAAGGCAAGGAGAGGACTTTGATCACCTGGAGAAGGGGATGGCAACCCACTCTAGTATTCTTGCCTGATTGATGTAAATGCCATCTCCGTTGTTAGTTTAGAGGCAAAAACTGGGAAGCAAGAGAGAGTCGGAGACCCGGATGAGATAGATGTGGCTGTAGCTTTACATGTGTGTACAGAATCATCAGGAAATTCTTCTGTACTGAGGTGTTGTTCAATTCCTAGGACAATCGAGGTGATACCCCAGGTCCCTTCTAGTTCTAAGATTCTGTGCCTCTGGTTTTGCCGGTGAATGATGCTGAAGCTGGGAGCGCTGGGCATCCCACGTTATCCTTGGGAACTTCCTGGCTGCTGGGAGTGATGCCTATTTGAGGAAGGTGGTGAGCTGTCATGAACTGAGGTGGCTTCACCGCCGAGCCGGATGTTTAACAGAGGCCTCTGGGCCACTGTCTGTCCTGCTGGGTCCTTCGCCAGTGGCAGCACACCTGGGCACTTTGGGAAGCGGGCACAGGACTTTACTAGAAAACTGAAGGTTTGCATTTTCCTCCCCTCTCGGCCATGCTTACCCACAGGGAAGGGCATCTCCCTGACACCCCCAGCCAGCTGGTTTGTTTTGGAGGGGACTCTGCCTTGCAGTAGTGCTCAGTCCGAGGAGTTCTATCTTTCCAGCCACTTCTGCCTCAGGTTTCCAAGAAAGAGCTGGCCACCGACAGGTGGGATTGGTGTTCTTTTCTGAGGATGTAGTTGTTTCAAGAGGTGCAGGAGGACACGCATGAGCCCTCCAGGAGAAGAGGCTTCATAACATGTATGCTTCCTTGGTTTGCTCATTTAGATATTTCTCTTCACTGATGTGTGTCTGGGGAAAGGGGGCTATTGACAGTTGTTGGAAATGGAAACCTAGGGCCTCACTGGTGGCTCAAATGGTAAAAAAAACAAAATCCACCTGCAATGCAGGAGACCCAGGTTCGATCCCTGGGTCGGGAAGATCCCCTGGAGAAGGGAATGGCTACCCACGCTAGTATTCTTGCCTGGAGAATCCCGTGGACAGAGCAGCTTGGCAGGCCACAGTCCATGGGGACTATACTTCACTAAAAAAAAAAAAGAAGGTGGAAAAGGAAATGGAAACCTTACTGGCTTAGGTTCATTTCTGAGCATCGTCTGAGATGTGTATTTTCAGTGCTGCTGGGAAAACTACAGGAGGTCTTGCGCTGAGCTGGGATATGAGACTATATTCTAAATTTAGATCCAGCCTGACACAGACTTCCCTTCCAGAGTGCACCAGCCATGTTTTCAGTTCCAACGGGAAAGGCTGGTGGTGGGAATGTGTATTCTATACAGCGGTGGTTTCTTCCTTTCATGTCTTGAAGTGAATGGATACAGCAGTCTGTGTCCAGGCTGGCCTGCGTCCCGGGCCGTCTGAGACCTGGCCGACTCCCTCACCCACAGGTCACCTTCCCACCAGAAAGGATGGTCAGTGTCCCCAGCATCTGTCTACCCATTAACTTTTCCAAAATCCAAGAAATTATTTCTGAAGCATCAGAAGTCAGCTTAGAATCGAATAGTTTGGTGCTAAGAGAAAGGGAAGATGGATGGATTCAGCCCAGAAAAGACAGCAAACCACAGTTTCCTGTGAGATTGCCAGAGAATGGGGGTGGGGGGTCGAATGTCGAATGGGGATGGTTTTAAGGTTGAGAAGGGTGTGAGGGGGAAGAATGGGCTGGAGAGACCCTCAGGTCATTGGTGAGACTGGAGACCATGAGCCCAGAGAAAAGAGGGAGGCGTAAGAACAGATTGGGGGGCCGGGAGGAGGAGGGAAGTGGGGAAGAGAGGAAGAAGAGGTGAGACAAAGCAGAGGCAGGAAGTAATCGGATGAGGGGGGCCTCCGGGGTCGGAGGTAAAGACTAAGCCTGCCTTTCCTCCCTGTGATAGAAAGCTAAGGTCCAGCAGGAACGACATCGAGATTGCCCAGTGATGTCAGGGACCCAGTGGGATGTAGGGGGACGTGGTCCTTGCAGTTCTGAGGACTTCTCAAGGAAATGCAGGAGAAGGTGTACCAGTCAGGGCTGAGCTGAGACTGGGGTCCCTGTCACCAAGCACAGAGCAGATAAGGGGCCCCAGGGGTAGGAGTAAGAGTGGAACGTGGCGGAACTTAGCTTAGCCGGGATAGGGTCAGAATGGAGCGGTGGGCCCAGGATGGTGAGCGGTCCCTGGACCAGAGGCTCTGGGGATGCCAGGCAGAGGGGCCGGTGGGAGGAAGCTGGGAGGTCAGACCAGGTGGCGGACCTGCTTGCAACCTCAGGGGTGAAGCCTAGCAGGTAGAAAGCTGGGGGAAAGGGAGGGGAGCTGAGCTCAGGCTGTGTGGTCCTTGTGGGCTCTGAAGCTGCAGGAATGGGGGTGACAAAGGGCGAGTGGGGAGCCAGGCAAAGCGGTCTGCCATTAAGGTGCTGCCCAAGCCTGGAGGGGTGCAGAGAGGAGATGGGTCGGGGCTCGGAGTGCAGCGGTGGTGGACTGTGAACATTCCAACCAGAGCCGTGGGGGTGCAGGCCACCCTCTTAACAAACCTGGGGAAGGGGGCGGGACATGGCTTTGCCACAATAGCATGGAACCCGGTGTCAGAGCCCACACCCCCCGCCACCCCGCCACCTACAGATCCCTTCTGAAGAAGCATCTTTGCCTTGGTTTCAGGATCGCTGGTGACACAGCCCTCAGCAAAAACATCCACGAGTCGGTCAGTGCCCAGATCCGGAAGAACTTCGCCAAAAGCAAGTGGAGAGTAAGTCCTTATTTCCTGCATTCCCAGTGAACTTGACCACTCACACCTGCCCTATGCCTGGAGGGCTTCTTCTTTCTAAAGGTTGTTCTCACCCAGGAGGTCTGATGAAAATTTCAAGAACCTCACCCAAATAATGATGCTGATTTTAAGTAGTAAAGATTAAGACTTGAAGAGAGCATTGTGGAGTGAGAAGGATAAAGTATATGATTTAATATCTTTCTTCTGAGATCCAGAAATAGCAATACTGCCAGCTCCTCCTTATTTGCAGTTTCCTAAGAAATCCCTGTTGTCTTCCTTCACTTTGCTGGAACTTTGAGGCATTAACTCTTATTAAAAAGTGATATAAAATTGGAAAAGGGAAACAGGAAATCTCAATTGAACTTATCACTACATTCCAGTAAAAATGTAATGGACTTAAACCATTAGCCTGTGTCCTCATAAGCATGGGTAATTAAGAGCTGGCTATTTTTCCATGAGAGCCAACAAGTAGGCACTATGCAGATAATAATTCCATTGAACTACTTTATTCACAGGAAATGCTGTTATTTAGGACAAAAACACCAATAATCAGAAAATGAAAACTCTTAAAAATAGGATTTTAAGGTACTACGTTATTACAACATGCTTTTTATTCTAGAAGTCACTTCTAAATTATGGAGAGAATTGGTTTACATTTATTCTATAGTTTACATTATTATGTCAGAAGAAAAATATCCTCTTCATCTCCAAAATGTATTTTGATGGGGGGAGAGGGTCAAAGGATGAGTGTACTTTTGGAAGAAGCGACAACACCAGTTTCCTTTCTAGAGGATCATAAGAATGTTTTTAGAAGTTTATACTGCCGAGGGTAACAAGAGAAATGATAGGAGACAGCCTGAGGCTTTTCTAATTAGCTGAAATATTTTGTCTGCTTTTCCTCTTTCTTAAATTTCAGCAAGCGTTTAATGCCACGGCCGTTGTGAGACATATGAGAAAACTACATCTTGGCAGCAGCCTGGACAGTTCAAATGCAAGTGTTTCGAGCAGCCTCAGTCTGGCCAGCCAAAAAGATTGTGCGTATGTAGCAAAAACAGAACTTTCCAACTGGTGTTTGAGACAGATCTCGTAGGGAGAAAAGGGGACTCTGGTTTGCTGAGTACCTACTATGTGTCAGGCTTCCCTGGTAACTCAAATGGTTAAAAATCTGCCTGCAGTGCAGGAGACCCTGGTTCGATCCCTGGGTTGGGAAGATCCCCTGGAGAAAGAAATGGCAACCCACTCCAGTATTGTTGCCTAGAGAATTCCATGGACAGATCATGGGGTGGACACGACTAAGCAACTACCACTTTCACTTTACTGTGTGTCAGGCACTGTTAATACTTGATTTCATTAACACTCCCAACAGCTCTAGGACACTGTTTTTCAAAATAGTTTAAAATTTTAATTATTTAATATTTATGTAACCCTAAGTCCTAGTATTTCCACGTTGAGATGAGAAATCAGTGGCTCAAGTCCCACCCAGCCATGTGTGAACAGAAGCTAACACTTTCTGATGCATCTCCTTATGATCTGACTTGCTTCTCATTGGGCATCACCCTTAGGGACCGATGACAGAGACTCATGACAGCCTGGGTCTCACTGACTTTTAAAATGTATTATTTTGCAGATGATCATTTGAGCTAATTTATTTGAAGTGTGTTGGCTTTGTGATCAGAGTAAAGATGTTAGGTTGGCCAAAAAGTTGGTTCAGGTTTGTCCATAATATGTTACAGAACACCTAAACCAGATTTTTGGCCAAGCCATACTAATGTCTCATTGTCCTCTGTGTTTGCGTGGAACAATACATCACCAAGGACACAGGCACACCCTCCTTATTTTTCTCTCTCAATCCCTGCTCTACACATTCACCTTAATCTCTAGGCTTTTCCACAGTCTCATCTGCTCCGCTTGTAGTTGTTTAGTCACTAAATCGTGTCCAACTCTTTGGTGACCCCGTAGACTGTAGTCTGCCAGGTTCTTCTGTCCATGGGATTTCCCAGGCAGGAATACTGGCGTGGGTTGCCATTTCCTTCTCCAGGGGATCTTCCTGGCTCAGGTGTGTCCTGAGTGGGCAGGTGGATTCTTTATCTCTGAGCCACCAGGGAAGCTCTCATCTGCATTGCAGAATCTCCTTCATTGAAACCCTTTAGCTTGGTCTCACCCTGGGCATGATACTTCCTTCCTGTTTCCCTTCATCTTTAAATAATCCTCAAGTCTCATTTCTGAACATCCAGCCCTTAAGTTCTCCCAGGAAACCGCCACTGAGCATCTCCTGACACAACTGCACACTGCTTTAGGCCCAATTTATATTTCAGCGCAAATCCTTTCCACCTTCCGCTCAAAGGATACCCCACAATCTATTATTTGAAGATTCAGTCAGTGGCTCTGACAGCAAAGCCATCATAGTCATTTACTTTATGGCGTCCATGTGTTTGCACTCACGAGTTCGTGGTGGCGAGGGTGAGTGGTACACTACCGCAGCTAAGATCATCCCACAACAGGACATTTCTGATGCCAGCGTCTGCCTGGGGAGCATTGGAGATGCAGCATGTCAGGAATTGTTCTAGACTAGGGGGCTGCCGATTCATGCAGGACTAAGTCAGTGTGCCCTGGGTCACAGATGCTTCTTAGCCAAGAGTCCAGAGCACACACCAAGCTGGGGTCATTCTTTATTCGCTCTTAAAATCCCTGCTTTCCCAGCACTGTTGTAAGAAATAAACAGTTCTTATGAGGACAGTATGTATTCAGTGGGCTTCCCAGGCAATGCTTGTGGCAGAGAACCCACCTGCCAATGCAGGAGACATAAAAGATGTGGGTTCAGTCCCTGGGTCAGGAAGGTCCCCTGGAGGGGGAACATTGCAACCCACTCCAGTATTCTTGCCCAGAGAATCCCATGGACAGAGGAGCCTGGTGGGCTACAGTCCATAGGTTGCAGAGTCGGGTTTGACTAAAGCAGCTTAGCATGCACACACACACACGCACTCATGTGTTCAATACCTAGCCTGATGCCTAGTATGTAGTAAATGCTCAGTAAATGGAAGCCGTCCTGTTACAGTAGCTAAACCATGATGTATCCAAATACAACACAGTTATCATTGCTATATGGAAGCAAGGAGGGAACACGAGTCCCTAAGAAGACTTGGGATCCTTGCCGATGTTTTCCTGTGGTAGGTAAAAAGTTAGAAGCAAGGGCCTCAAAGTTTGTCCCCCCCCCCACCCCAACAAACCCTTGCAGCGGGAAGAGGGGGTGAGTACGTTCTTCTAAAGCTTTGAACTTCCTGTGTCCGCTGACCCCCTGCAGGTCTGACACCCTCCACGCTCTGTAGTTTCATGTCCTCTTCGTCCGGGGTCTCAGGAGTGGGAGCGGATCGGAGACCGAGGCCCACCACTGTGACGACAGGGCACTCTGGAAGCAAGTGACTGGCCCCGGAGGTGGGGCCCAGGGGGCCGGGCCAGGGAAGGGGGGCCCCCGGGGGCCACCAGCGCCACCAGCCACTCCAGAGCGATCCCACCTTGCATGGTGCGCCTCCCTGCACAGGACTGGAAGACAGCAGTTTTTTTATGGCCATATTTTATACTGCAATTCTGAAGTGTTCATTTCTCACAAACTGTACTGACTCAAGGGATCTGGTGCTGTACATATGAATCTCGCAAAGCTCTAACAGAATGGACTTTCTCAGTTCCTCTCCCCAAGCCCTGTCGTTTCCGCTCTTCTCAGTAGAGGTACCCGTCTATGTTGTATTTTTTCATTCATGACAAAAAAAAAGTTTCAACTGGATTATTTAAGTATTGGTAAATATTGTGCATTAGGGTTTTGTTTTTTTCCTTTTAAGAAATGTGTCCTTTCAAGCTATACTTCTTACTTCCATGACCTGTATCTTTTGCTTGTCGGTAGTAGAATGTTATGTTAACCTTTAAGAGATTTTTTTTTTCCTTCAAAGGGAATTTAAAAGTATTTTTTAAAATTCTAATAGAGGATTGATCGAGAATCTGTCTCCAAGGTGAAGAGTGCACTTTACTTCAATTCCTTCTCCTTGTCTCCCTTTCTTCCTTGGAGGGGCAGTTCTCTGAGAAGGTAACTCACCTCTTCTGCAGGCCTGTTTTCTCCCTGGGAGTTGGGGAGCCCGTGGGGGGCACCTGCAGAAAACCTTGCCTGGCAGTTCCTCCAGCAAAGCCCTCTCCAACTGGAGACCGTGGGGCCTCTGGCCATTCGCAGTCAGAAATGAAGAAGCCTGCTCCCCCAGAGCAGATGAAAGGCTAGACTTGTGATGAAGGAGATGACCCCTCTCCCCCTGCAAAAATTTCAGAGCCTCCCGCACAGAAAGAGCACGATTGCCATTTTGTTTGGAGCAAATTTCTCACACAGCTCTCCTTTCTCATGAGGAGGGTGGCATGTGAAAGCCCAGCTATGCAGTTTTAAAACTGATCTGTTTTTTAAAAATGCATTTCTAATCTTACAACTGCGAACAGCCTCCAGCTCACACCAGTTGTTTCTGCAAGTGTTTACGCTCTTCTTAGAGGGTGAGGATCCAGAGAAGGGAAGAGAGGGCCATGACCTTGGAAAAGACCCCATTGACATGAGGTGGTGAGGAGAGGTGACCTGCCCAGCCGGCAGGACCCTGGCCACTGCAGTGACAACCAGAGACCACCCAGCCAGGCCCAGCTGGCATGCAAAGCCATCCCTCTGACGGAGGGAATCCCCAAACCAAAGATCTGAGATGGTGGGGTCACCAGTGTCCCAGGTGTCCCAGGACTGAAGGACTTTCAAACCAACAGTGTCCCAGGAAAACTGGGCCACGTTGTACACCCACGTGGTGGATGGGTGTGTAGGATAGAGCGAGCACAGTGTGAAACCCAGGACAAAGTGCTTCTCCAGGAGGCTTCCGAGATGCTGTCATGAAGAGGCGAGCAGGTGGGGCCAGATGCAAAAGCCCTCCCTCAGCCCCCGTGCCCACACGATGCCCTGAGTCTGCATCCGCACAGTCGGCCTCGAGCCGCAGTGGGTCCCTGCTTGTCTTCTTGATGGTCCTGTGACTTCCCTGGCTGTTGTCCTCATGCTCTTATCCCGCAGATGGTCAGACTCAGTGGATCCTGTTGGTCTGGCTGTCTTTGTCACTTCTACACCTTTGCCTGGGTGTAGGCCAAATGTTCAGTGATGGTCCCCTCAGCACACACACACTGTTATGAGGCTCAACAGCTGCATTCTGCCTCCTTCAGGACAGCAGTGCAGGTGTGTGTGAGAGCCGCTGGAAAGACAGGCATCTGATTCACCCCGTGTCTTCCGCATCACAGACACTCAGCCCCTTGACAGGAATCCCACTTGACATCTGCCACACATGTATCCAGAGTGGAAATCAAGGTGTTACTCTTCAAAATTTGTAAAAAGCCTGGAAATGCCTATAAAATGACAGAAGACCCAGTTAGGAAGCAAGTATTGCCTCATTTGGAGGGCAATAGCATGAATATTATAAACAGAATCAGGAAACTGAGGCATAGAATGTTGCTTACTGACAAGTGTAATGGAAGATCCAAGTTTGTACAGTATAAGAGGAGAAGCACTTAGATGTTATGGAGGAAGGGTGATAATTTGCCTGAATCTGATACTTAGAACATGTGCCCAAATAGTTACCAGCTCCTTGAACTGTGCCCTACACAGTCATTTGCACTTGGAAAGCAGCAGATTTTATTGGTGGCAAATTATTTTCTGGAGCCGAACTGTGGGATGCATGTTCTATGCAATTAATTTGAAAATATGTCCTACCTGAAAAGCGCAGAAGAGCTGAAAGACAGGCAGGTTTCAGGTGCCTCTTTGTGATTTGGGGTCAGCTCTTGGCCATGGTTGGCCACATCAGGTCTCAGGACCAAACTGCAAGAAGATAGTGACTGTTTCAGCCCAAAAGTAGGCTCTGTTGAACTTGACATCAGGTGAATCTCTGCTGTCTGGATGCCACCAGACTCAGGTTTTTCCCCCATTCTTTTAGGAAGAGGAGAAAATAAGCCCCACATGGAAAAGCTGCTCTGCTCAGAGAGGCCTTAGTGGTTTAAAAATGGAGGTTCTCTTTCAACCGTGTTATTTACACTTGATTACAACATGGGAAGAGAACTCGGAATATGCCTTTTGGCAACACCTGCCAAGTGGAGTGACTGAGTCCTAGGACCCTCACTGATGTCAGATTATACCAACAGAAGCTGAGCTTTTCATAGGGACACCCGGCTTACACATCTCGAGGCCAGTGCGTGTGGCTAGACTAAGGATGGACCGTGGACTTCATCACAGGCTTCCTTCCAACACCCCGCCCCCCCCCCCCAATTTGGTCTCTTCACCTCCTCAGAGAAAGTGGATTGTTTTTCTTATTTGAAATAGTGTCTTTGAATGGTCTTGCCCTCAACTGCCTGTCTGTCTCTCCTTCACTTCCTGATCTTCATCTGATCCATGAGGCCATCAGGGAGGCTAGCATTTGTCTGAAACAGAGGGCGTGCACCCAAGTGTGGCTCTGACAGACTTTCGAGCAAGTCCCAGCTCTTCAGCTGGCTCTGAGCATAGCATCCAGGGAACTGGGCAGTTGGGCTTAGAACTGACCAGGCAAGTCTCTGGCACTCAGGGAGGATGAGCTGGTGAAAGGCATGTGCCACATGTCCCCCCAGCTCAGTCTACCTACAGCACTAATCTCATCCTGTTCATTTGTCTCCCGTGGTGTCCAGAAGATCCGGGCGGATTATGAATGGAAGAGGAAGACCCCTCCTTTAGAATGAAGGCCAAAAACACTAGGGACAAAGGGATGGAATGCAAGTGACCCCTCCTTGCAAAGAAAGGGGTTAACCCTTCCTTTGGAGGAGTGACAGCTTGATGAATGCCCTGGGGTTTGATGTGTTGTGAGAAAAGACTGTATCCCAGTGAAGATAACTCAGTATTTTAAGACTTTGGCCACCATGGCCCCCTCACCCACCCAGAGCCTGGGCTGTGTTGATTCTTCACCTTGGAGAAGCCACTCTGGAACCATTGCTCCAGGTTTGAGGGTGGGAGAAGGAGGGTTATGGCCTCTGTGTTTTGCCTGCGACACTGTCAACTTCCCAACTTTGTGTGGTCTCCACAAACTCCTTTCTGGGCTTCCTCTGGTTGCAAAAATGGACAGCAAGGCCCAGTAGAGGGCAGTTCCTCCCATTTCCATAAGCAGAAATAAGATGTGCTCTTTCCCAGGGTCTCACTGTCACTTCTGGCAAATGGAATGAAGGTCCTCTGAATCAACCGATGCACGAAACCTTTGCATGTTCTTCTGAAACAATACTGCTTCCCGTTCTGTCCACTTACACTCTGCAGAGTTGGCCTTTTCCTTAAACACATTCCAGACCAAACACTGTTCAGTTTGTTTTAAAAAAAATGTATATACCAGTTTGTAACCCACCACTCTTTGCGAGGGACAGGGGGCTGGTCCTAGGTTGGGGCTGCCAGTTGGCCAAAGAGTGTTCCAGTTGGTTTTCAGAATTGACAAAGTTGAGATAGGAAGGGTGAATTGTGCAGATTTCTTAAAGGGGAGCTTAATTCACAGGGATGCCAAGAAAACCGGACTGCCAATGGGATTGCTTGACACTTCTACATTGGCCAGAGTCAGGGAGGAGAAAGAGGAAGGCAGGAGGCCCAAGCCGCCTTCAGCCCTGACCTTCAGTGTGGTCCCAGTGTATCGCGATCTGCAGCCCAGCACAGGCACAGGAGCCCAGCCCCACTGTGGAGTCGGCCCTGCATGCTGGCCGTGACCTGGCCCGCCTCCTGCTCTGGGCCAAATCCAACGGGCAGGAGCATCAGTCTCTCCCGCCTTCCCTGCCACTTGTAGCAGGAGCAGCCGCGCTTGTGGCTCCGGGGCCTCTGCTTCTGCAAACCCAAAGGCTGTTCATTTGGCAGCCAACCCTGCAGCATGTGGCTGCCAGGTCTGGTTTCGTGGACAAAGTGTGGAATGGCTTCTTGGTGTCTGTGTCTCTCTCTACACCAAAGGGACTGACTACTGCATTTCCCCCTTTGTACTAATGCCGCTTCTGCATTCGCCATATCCATTTTTAACCTTTTGGTCTCCAGGGAACTTCTCATATGATGATTGTGTCTTCTGATGATTTACCAACTTCTTTTACTTCGAGGTGATTTTATTTTCTTATGGACGGGAAAAAAGAAAATGAAAGGAGTGTTGAGGCTTTCATCATAGAGATAAAATATCACCAGGAACTCAAAAGCCCCAAACACTGGATAAATTACTTCTCAAAGAAAAAGCTTAATCTGGACAGACTGAGGTTCCTGGGCCCTCGTGGTAACCTTGCACTTGAGGGAGGAGGTGCTGGGGCAGCGCTGGCAGCCAGGCTCTTGACATGTTATAAAAACAAAAACATTGTGATAGTGACAAAAATGCTACAACCTTGCAGCAGTATCTTTGTTTTGCAAGGCAGGCAGCATGTTTCAAAGAACATTTATCTTAGCCCCATGTTCAGGTTGAAAGATATTAATACAAAAGGTACATTCTGTCCAGAATAAAATTTGGAACAATTTCTAAATTGGCTCTGGTCACTGCAATAATGTCATAGTCCTTCTTGCAGCTCTCCCAACAGTGAGCATGTTTTCCAAAAGCTTATGACATTGAACCCAGGAATGTCCCTGTGTCTATTATTACTAGGCTTGTAATTGGTTCAGTTTTTCCATAAAAACATGCTTGTCCAAAAGAAGGGAAACTGTGCATTTATTCCATGCATGTAATAAACTCTGCAAGAAGTTTACTCCACATAGGTTTGCGGCACTGCAAAATTGTTAATGGGCCTGTGTAGCAAATGATTCTCTGCCTTGACAATCATGTACACATATCAAGATTTCTATCATAATGATGACGAGATTGATGACTTCTTGTTTTCCTCCAATAAAGACAATTAATCACCTTCAGATGTGTGTCATTTGTTTCTTACATAAGAAGCCAGACTGGAGTGTTTCAACAGCTCTCTCTTTCCTCCTCTCTATAAAAGTTTGGATTTGAAGGAAGGAGTTGAATTGAGGCCCTGGAAATTCATAAGGTGCCCTAAATACTTTATGGGTCTCCCCTGATGGCTCAAGCAGTAAAGAATATACCTGAAATTCAGGAGACACAAGAGGCGCGGATTCAATCCCTCAGTAGGGAAGATCCTCTGGCAGAGGGCATGACAACCCACTCCAGTATTCTTGCCAGGAGAATCCCATGGACAGAGGAGCCCGGCGGGCTCTGGTTCATGGAGTCACAAAGAGTTGATGTGACTGAAGTGACTGAGCACAGCGCAAATACTTTATATCACCACCCCAGGAATCCTGTGCAGGAGTCGTGCCACGGATGGGGGCAGGACAGGCACAGCTTGGCTTTGAGGCTTCTGATGGGCTCCCAGGCTCCCCCTTTGCCTTGCTGCTGTAGAAGGTGGCTGGAGGTGGACCCAGAAGCCCCCAGAAATCCAGATCACACTGACTAGATATTCTTGAGTCGTTTGCAGGAAAAGCCAACACTAATTTCCAGGAAAACCTGAGTTTCACATGCCTGCCCACACACGCCCACACCTGTCCATTTCCTGGGCACAGCCTGGGAATTCTCAATGCCCAGAGGAAGATTCTTTTCTGATCATGTAACCAAAAGTGCGGTCTGGCTGCTTACTGCTTAAAAGCCAGTAGAGTCAAGATTGATGGAAAGGAAAGTTTGCCTTATTCTGGATGCCAACAATCAGGGAGAGGGCAGGCAGACACCTCACCAAAGGCTAACTCCCCCCACCACCATTTACAATCAGTGGGCAAGAGCTTTTATAGACAGACAGAGGGCCTTACATGCAGAAACAGCACAGTCAGCTCTTGATAGTCATCTTAAAATTGGTCGTCGGTGGTCTGATCAGTGTCACCTTGATCGTTTTAAGTACAGTTAACCTTCAGCTCCAGGGTAGTTTGTTTGCATTTCTTGGGGCCAGTTCTCAGAATTGTGGCAGCTTATGTCATGGCTAGAGTCTGGTCATCATGTAAACTCCTCCACCTGGTGGGGTTCCAGTATCCATAAGACAGCTCACAGCCCTTGAGAAGGAACTAAAGGTCCTTGACTTTGCTTAATGATTGAATTCTCATTATTTGGTCTTGTTTGACTGTTTTCCTTGATTTCTACATTTTCTCACTTCCCTGATTAAACGATCTTTGGCTAACATTTTTCTGCAGGCAAAATGAAGGCAGAGGACATGAGGGTGAGGACCATAGAATCCTGCTCTGTTTCAATCAGAAGAGTGAATATTGTTTGCTTGTTTGTTTTCCTGGTTGGAACACCTGCTGCTCATAGCTCATCGGATATATTGTGGGAATTGGATCTGATCCACCAGACAGTTCCTCCAATCCAAATAATAAGTTGTTGTGTCAAGGGGGAAAACAGGAATTGGACATGGTTGTAGAAATATAGAATAAACATTAACCCACACAGCCAGTATCAAGTGAAAAAAGCATGAACCTTAGTAGAAGTAAGTGAGCCCCAAATAAATATAGTGTCCATCATCTGATACCTGATGTCTAGTCCTTTCTTAGCTGATATGGCTTCTCTCAATGCAGACCCTAGTCAGGAGCTATAACACAAGGTTCATTCAGCGGGTGCATAGGTGACATAATTAATTATGTCACATTAATTAATGCAGGCTTTATGGAACAAAAGAACTTCAGTAACCTAACCAGTTTTGAAAACTATCTGTAAGGATTCATTAAAGAGAAGGCTCGCCAACTGTGACTGAAAATTTAGCCAAAGCAAGTGCACAGAAGTATAAAACTGATCCTAATAGAAAGCTGATATTTATTAGAGCCCTAGAGTTGAAATGTTTAAGGTCAGACTTTGAATTCACTGAGTTTCAGCAGCGATGACCAGCACCTCTACCCTTCAGACATTCACCAAACCCCCTGTGGCTCAAAAAATGTTCAATATGCATTGAAATTCACCTCAAATTTCCTTATATTTTTCGGGAAAATTTTGCTCTTCACATTCTCTTGGGATTGTCTATCAGCCAGAATACATATAGGGAACCAGTGGTACAAGAATTAAATAAAGCCTCCCTACATAGATGCAGAATTGTCCATCCAGACAAGAACCATACTTTGTTATTATTATCAGCAACAATATCTACTACTACTAACCATGCCGTGGATTTTCTGTTCTAGATACTGTGCTAACTGAATTCCATTCAGTATCTCATTTAACCATCAGCTCAACAAGAAAGGTGCCCTTCTTCCCCAGATGGGTTCAGAAAGATTAAATGATTTACCTACAGGCAGCAGAGTTTCAAACTCAACTGGACTGATGTCAAAGGCCATCCTACTGCATTTCCCCTCATAATTTTCTGCAGGTCATTGAATTCCAAACTGCCCAATCTGGACTTCATTTGTTTAGTAACTGGGGCCCACTCTTAATTATTGAGTTGACACCATGGAATCAGTTAACGTCTGGAATGTCACCATTCCTAAGGTTTGTCACACCACATCTCCAAGAGAAACTTCTCTTAGCATCTCAGCCTAGTCTTACACAAGTTCAGTAAATGAGAAACAGCAGCAGAGGGAACACAGACATAACTGTGTTACTAGCCCATGTGTTTTCTGCTGTTCCATTGTCTCATGTCTCAGGAGAAATGTCACAGAAGCTGGATTTGGTCTAGAATTCGAGCTGTAGATGATAATCATAACACTGCTTGGGTTTTTGTCTTAAGTTAGTCTCTTCTCTTGCTCTGATTGATATCACTGGAAAGTTCTCTTCATATACACGGAGTTTTATCCTTGACATGCAGACCTCCCTGTTGTCTGCTATTTCCCCCAGATCGCCTTCAAAACCGCTGATTTATTTTCAAGACAGTGTCTCAGATCTCTGGTTCTCTTCCATCCTCCCCTGGGAGGAACTGTGTTTAGCATGAGTTCATCTTCCTAATGTGTTTCCACCAGCAAGCACGGACTCTGTCCAGAAAGACTTAATGGGCCAGGAAGATGCAATCCGTGGTCAACTTATGAACACTTTTCCTCTTGCCTTCATCTCAGGCTGCTTCTTCCCCCTCTCTATAAAAAAACATTGTTTTAGCTTCAACATTATATTTGTCTTGGGGGCATCAGGATTCATTTCTGTGGGTCTTGCTGATTCAGGCTGTTTATATCGGCTCATGGAGAAAAACTCACACAAGATGCTGAGCCGCCAGCCAACCTGGCTGTAGTCACGGAGAAGAGCAGCCTGACTGGCCCCTCTCGTTAGGGCCGGCTGTTCCCCAGCATGGAAGTGAAACACGGCTAACTTCTGTACCCACCTGTCCCAGAGTGCTTGTCACAGGGACCCCTGTGGGATGAAAGAAAGCTTACTCATGCTGAGTCTTTTAAACGAACTGTCTCAGGTCCGGACAGTAGTCCCAGTAGTGATGGAACCTCAGGGGCACCAGAAGTGTGTATGGAGGGGGGACTTAGCATCTCTCTGGTGCAGGCTGCCCCACCCCGTCAACTGTGCTGCTTGACAAACGGTCCCCAGGCAGCACTGCCTCAAAGCTGCATCCCAAAGCTTCCCACTACGTACCTCCCCCTACTCCTCAGAGATCTCGCTGAGATGCAGATTCTGAGTCAGCAGGTCTGGAGGGCTGGGCGAGCTCCCAGGTGGCACTGCCGCCCCTGGTGGTCCTCACGCCCGCCTGCCCGTTCGAATCACCCTGGGATCATTTCAGAAATACTAGTGCGTGGGCCAGTGGCACTAGGATCGCTGGTGAAAAGGTGCCCTTGTGGGCTTCATTCCTACCCATACCACGTGGGCCTCGTCTAGGGCTGCTGAAGGGAAAGACAGACAGACAGGCAGCAGTGAGAGAACACAGAAGTGCCAGCACGGACACCACAGTCTTTTTATAACCTAACCTTGGTACCTCAGTGCTTCTGCCACATTCTATTCATTAGACGTGAGCGTTACCCAAGGGCGTGACCACCAGGATGTGGGGCCCACAGGGGGCCTTCTGCACAGCTGCCTCCCACAGCCTTGTCCCTCTGCCACCTCACTCATGACCCTTGCTGACCGGAGAGAGAGGTGAGGCTGGACTGTGATCTGTGGCCGGAATCCACGTGCTGAGGAAGAGGCAGTGAGAACAGGGCTCTGGGATGCTCCAAAGAGCCCAGACGTTCTCTGAATGACATTCATCCAATTAATGTTTTTAAAATCTTGTATTTGCTCTAAGAATGTAAAGCAGACTACCAAAGTCTTAGCAAACTGCTCTAGGGAAGCTGCAGGCTTCAAAACACAGCATTCCCTCTGTCCTGAGAAGAAGCTTTTAACTCCGCCCAGAGTAAAAAAGAAAAATAAGTAAGCTTTGGACATGCACATCCTGAAATCTGCAGGTGCACCCCATCTACCAATCGATGCCCATGTGGTTCTTCTTAAAGAGATTGAGATCGGAGAGTCGATGCTCCACGTGGAGCTGGGAAATGAAGCTGTGCCCCACAGCTGCTGGTCCTCATGAGGTTAAACCCGGGCGCAAAGGCTGACTGGAAAGGGCTCTTGCTCTGGGCCAGTTTAAGTGATTCCCCTCCTTCTGAAGACAGTGGAGGACACGCTCCGGGCGAAATCCACCAGATGGACCAGGCAGATGTGGCCCCTTCTCACTAAAGCCAACGCGCATGTGTGCAGCAGTTTGCAGTGACTGAAGCCCTTGACCTTGAATTATCCTTCAGTCTTCACAGCAGCTCCGCAGGTGGGTGGGAAAGCGCGTGACTTCTGCCTCCAAACACGAGGAAACAGAGTCTGAGAGGGAGGAGGTGACTTGTGTCAGGGTCAGAGTTGGGCCTGCAAGGCTGAGCAAGTGAGGAGCGGGGAAACCCGTCAAGTGCAGGATATATAAATGGGCTCATTTCCCAGCTTTGGAAGAAAGGATGCGAGTTTTCGCCGAGGCCTCCCAGGCCGG